CAGTTGGCTTGTTAGCTCAATTGGTAGAGCGCTGCACTAGTATCGCAGAGGTCAGTGGTTCGAGTCCCGTACAGGCCTGATTTTTTTCAGGTCTGATTTTCGCTATTGCTTAAATAGCGCTATCTACTGCGAGGATCGTGCATCATACGTATCTAATACCGCAGTTCAAAATATATGAACTTCATATATTTCATTGTATCTCATTTATCACTTTCACGGGTTTATTACGAATCAACTTAACGGCCTGCTCCCAGTTGGCTTGTTAGCTCAATTGGTAGAGCGCTGCACTAGTATCGCAGAGGTCAGTGGTTCGAGTCCCGTACAGGCCTGATTTTTTTCAGGTCTGATTTTCGCTATTGCTTAAATACCGTTATCTACTGCGAGGATCGTGCATCATACGCCTACAGTAGTATTGTCAAATATAAATTTAACTTTAAGGAATACTCTTCCGAAACTGAAGTAGTTTTAATTTCAGAATCAAATCAAGAAGTAATTGGTTTGGTCTTTAAATGGCGATGAAACTCGGCTGGTTTCTTCTTGAATCACGAACTTGGCATTTTGAATTGGTGAAGAGAAGTCTTAAAAGAACTAAGAAACTGTTAGTTCATCTTGACAAGTTGCTTTCCAACTCTGATTGACAAATCTTAGAAAATTTACTTTCCTTGTACAAAAGCTACAGTTATTTTCTATCCCAGCTATTTTCTCAAAATTCTCCCGTAGCTTAGAGCATTTTGTCCAAGTTAACTATTCTTTTCTCTGTCTTCGTCAGAATTGTAAACTACACTTTGAATTATGGAGTTTTGTGTTTGTAAAAGGATCTTAATCTTTCTTAAATTTTTAATTAACTTAAGTCAAAAACTGAAGTTGATTTGATGAGAAAATTTCGATGAATAGTTGCTCAGAGTCTTGTACAATGAAACGACTCAGTGCAGCTTCAATATTGAAGGGAACTGAAAAATTCATGCGATCAGATAATTTTTGTTTGGTAACGCACAGAGCAGTTTATTTCAAAACGTGAACGACGTGGTTTATATCTATTTCTCAGAAATAAAGCTGTTTCCAGATCAGCGAAGATTTTCCGATCAACATGGAAAACACTCTCGCAATTCATATTGCGTCCGCTATCAAAAGAACGAAATTAAGATGTCTGAAGCATTTCCTAACCTCAAAATGTTGATCGCTTTTGAAGCAAACTTTTACTAAATCTCATTTCTTTTCCTCCAATTAACTCAGAACGATCATTTAAGTTAAGAAAAACTCATGACTTCACTAAAGTGATGAAATTCTCTTGTTTGACTTTACAGGCGGTAAGGATTTTGACCCGGCGGAGATTCCTGGTTATTACAACCAACGGTAGAGACAATCAGATATCAGTTGTTTTGGTATTAGACAAGAACGTACAAATTTGCGGCGCAAATCTTTACGCATCGAATTTATAAGACAGCCTCATTTACAATAATAAACATATTCCTCGAGAAATTTTGTCAATGCCGAGACGAAGTTCGCATCAAGGGCTTCCTTTACGAGAAGCTTACTGAGAGGTCTCAACCCTTTTTAATAATATCGGGGACATTTAGGATGATTATGCTATAGAAACAACGCATGAAACAAATTATGGCAGTTATTAATTTATAAAAAGCGGTCTTTCTTGTCTAAGCGAGTGTCATTAAATTTGTCGTGTTGGCTTTTTATGACGAATCATAAACTGTGGTTTCATATCTCTTAATGATAAAAAATCATATTCGATCTTTGCTTCTAAAATTGTTACTAAATCCTAATGGCATTCTGCTCTTCAGAGAAACTCGTCGCGTGAGACCAGAAAGCCAGAATTTATAGAGAAATCTAAGTTATAAGATCTCACTGAACATCTATATTGCTTTTAGGCCTGTAGCTCTGAGCGTTCAGTAGAAGTTTTTTGCTAGTATTCTGTGCAAATTTTTTAAAGGTAGAGTTATATATTGCCAGACATTAATGTCAATCAAGAGAATAAGATATTCTCTTGCGTCAACGTTTTTCTGTAATGGTAAAGTAAAAGTGCATGAGTGACATATGGTCCCGCCCGAAAGCAATGAAAAGAAAACCAAGGTTAGACGAATTTAAATTAGTTTAATAATCGTCTAGCTCATGAGTTTTCTCTTTTTTCAAGACATCTGTTTCTGCATTTGATTTTAATCATGAGTATTTTATTTCAAGACATGGTCGGACATGTTGTTTCCAGTAAAAATGATCGATATCATGCAATTTTAGGCCGCGGCGGCTTTTCGACCTGTCAGAACATTCGTTACAATGTAAGATTTCCTCGGTCGGTATCCATCCATCCAGTGCATTATAAGCGAACGATTTACCTACGGAAGCCAGGTTTTGTATTTAAAGGTCGGATTTAGACATGAAATGTTGAATGTATGTCATATTTTCTGTCTTTGGAACCGAGCGTAATTATAATAGTCTCTGTTACTTTCTTTTTGATATCTTTTTCATCATTCATTTTTTTTCATATAATACATCCTGCCTTTGCGCTAAGAAGAGAGATATCGCGTCCCGAAAGGATGTCTATGAAAGGATTGTAAGGAAAATAATAAACAGTTTTGAATTTTTTCTAATGCGTTTTGATGAATTTAAGTATAAAACAAAAACTAAAGATCATTGAAAACTCTTTTCGAAGACCAAAGCCGGAATTATTCCAGACATTCGGACATCTATCGAAAATGAATTAAGAAGCCTCTCAGCCTGGATTGGTAGCGAATCGTGAGCACCAAAGGATTTAAAAGCATTTTCTAAGAAGAAAAGAGCAATATAAAAATAATTTTTCTCCCTTTGCCCTGGGGCGACAAGCGTTCACTATGGAATTGTCAACAAAAAAAAAAATTACAATATAGTGATTTGCCAAATGTGGCTCCCTCAGGCATTTATTTTCTATTATTAATACTTTTTCTTGTCAGGTTTGTCGAAGGTGAAAACTTGTAAGGTTATGCTAGAATTTCTGTTAAACCTGAGAAAACTCTGCATCTACAAGACAGTTTGTTGGTATTAACGTACTAGTTTTATTTCAGTTTGTCACAACATTTTGAGAGTCCTTCAGTAAAAATTAACATGGTCATTTTTGTCTCATCTTTGATTTGTACTTTCGCAACAAAAATGTTTTAGAGATGTATTCAGAGTTCCTACAGGTGCGATCTTAAAAAAAAAGAAACAGGCATCCATATCGTAAATGTAGAACACGGAAATTCAACATGACAAGGAAATTAACTCTGGAAAATGAACAGAATTTTAGTTGACAGATAAAAAATGTGGCGATTTTTGAGATCAACATCGAGAGAGTTAACATTGATTATTTTTTGTACAAAGTAAATTTTTTTATCCATGTAATTTAACAGTTTTTGGAATTTTGAGCACCTTTGTTGACTCTTTGATTAAAGATCTGGAAGTGTAATTCGCCTGCAAAACAAATCATAATACTTCCAGTTGATGAAAAGAAACACAGAATTGGCTCAATATATTAGTTTAATGAAGAAAACTTTAAGATTGCCGTCAGCATTCTTTCTCGAAGCAACCGCGAATTATGGCCACACACTCTGTCGGCCGCTATGTCTTCTGTCCTAAAGTTTTGATTTTAATATTCATAACTTGAAAAGAATTAACAAGAGTGGCGATTGTTTCACGAGTGAAACTTTTTGTGGATATGCGATACAGAAGTAATAACACGTACACATAAATGCAAAATTTAAAAAACATGACGTGATAGATGGAACGAAAATTCATATTACACGCGCTGTAATAAAAAGGATTCGTTTCCAATTACTTCAAGAAAATATACAGATTTAGGTTCGGTGCATTTTTAAGGCAGGTGTAACGACAAGTAGAGAAGAAATTCCTTATAGCCGTAGTTGCAGAATGCAAATAAACTTTGGGTATCAGTCTGGTTTTTTGAGAATGCGAATACGTTCGTCTGCGAGTTTATTTTTCAATAACTCGTGCGATATAAACCAGCTGTCCGCATAATTTTGCAAATTATTTTATTCGGAGTCAGTTGACTATCAACATAGCACTTTGGCAGAGTGCACGTTGGACAGGTTCGTTATCAGATGACAATACTTTTTGAATCATCATTTCAAACTTTCTAGAAGTCGCAATCAAAATGTACTCAAAATCGGGTCAACATACCTTTTCACCCAAGGCGAAAATGGGTTGAAATTTCACTTTGGGTTGAAAGCTACGGCTTTTAGCCGCAATTATGCCCAACAAACGCTGAGAAGCTTTGAAACGTGAAATAAAAGATTAACGCTAAAATTTAATAACCAAGAAAGAAAGTGAGGCTTGCTTTTTAATGCAAGGCGAATATTAATGCGGATGTGCAGTGGAATATTGAAAGCATTAAGAGAAATACCGAGCGGACATATCAAAAATGAAATTTCCTGGGTCGCAATAAAATTGAGAGTGTGAGCCCCCACTGACATGATAAACTCCACAAGATATTCCACCGACCAAGTGAACTTGTTTTGACAAAATCTTCATTTTTCGGCTGCGTCCCATTTAAACACATCAATTTTTCATGTATTTTCTAGTCTTATCGTACTTCGCATGACGTTTGCGCTAATCTATAGAGCAACACATATGCATCCCAAATTTGGATTCGCTCTGACGGGCAAACCCTATCCTTATTAACGATTCTTAAAAACCTCAACATAGAAATAAGATAAATAAAGCCTAAGATAATTGTTTTACAATCAATACACTCGCCTTCTGTTCGCTCTAGCATGAAAATAATTTACTAATTTGAATATGGAAAACGGGCCAAGCGAACAACTCACGAAGTCACGCGAGACCGCCTTAGCTCTTTTGTGCATTAGGGAAAGGTGTGAAAATTTGCTCTGGATACTGATAAATTTCGCCGCAAACACAGTAGATAATCTAATACACCGACAAGCATCGTGATTAAAGAGAACTCCTGCGGGTTTCCCAGAGTTTTTGGGACATTTCGACGCTGATTCATGAGTGGGACTTCTCAGTCATGCTCTAGGGGCAACTAACAGCATCCGCTCGATTAACAAAAATACAGCAAGCGTTTTATGAGAAATTCACCGAGCCTTAAGGCGCTCTTTTATATCCCTGTAAATGAAAAGAAAAAAAGTGCTTTCCAACTACAATAGACTAGATCTTCAAGGCAAAAAATATAGCGAACAGATCCCAAGTATTTCGTTATTTCATTCGTTTTGCCGGACCGTATTCGCGATTCGCAATCTGCATGGGTCATTGAAGTATCTCGTGCAAGAATATATTTATCCTCCTCTAAACCTGTTATTTTTTGAACAAATTGTTTTCTCTGAGGTATATTTCGGCATTTATTAGGCCTTGTCCACCCGTGAAATAGATTTAGTTCTATATACTGAGGTGCAATACATTCATGTGTACGATCCACTTTCGCTATTTAAATCCCGAATTTGTAAAGCACAATACGTTTCACACACCGCACGACAAAGCTAAGGTATTCCTAATGCTACTTACCGCTTTGTAGGTCTTTTTCTGCCCAACATGAATTCCTCTCTCATTGATGTGAACACTGCTTATGATATCGAAAAAGTCATCTGCTACAGCAACTCTTCGATATTCGACAACTTGAGAGCGAGCTGATTGTCCGATCTTGTCTTCGTATGGGTACAACATCTCTACGCTCTAAATGCACAAGACATCCCACAGAACGCAGTCAGAGATGAAAGCAAACAAAACCGTGCCGAGTCAAATATTTTGAGTATGAAACCTTTGTACGATTATCAGACTTACTCGAGTATGAGGAACTTTCACTGGAACATACAAAACGCCATAATCTGGACTATCCTCGGCTTGTGCGATTCGAAATCCCTTCGACTTGACCCAGAAGCGAAATTTTGCATCAGTTTCGATCTGGGGCTCTCCCAACAGATATCTGCAGATTTTGTTGAACTTTTTTCGCGTGATTGTCTTTGTGCGACTGTTTTCACCATAGTTTAATTCAACCCATCCCTGGAAATTTCGACGGAATGAGGACCTTTCGAACGACATCTTTAAAAAGAATACGCCCGAAGTTGATCCAGCCAGAATATTCGCTGAATGAATATTGTGAGGGATGGGTTCGTTTGGTGGCCCACGGAAGCAAATTGCCTGTGACCGTCTCACTTCCTATTGGACGAAATTTGTTGCATTTAAAGGGCTTTGCTGTTGAACGCCCAATCCAGTCGCATGGTAGCAGATGTCCCGAAATCGAACAATATTGACAGGATCAACGCATAATTTGGGATAATTGAGTGAAGGATGTTGTGCTGTCTTTGTTGACGGGATGAGTTAAATGACGGCTAATGAGATAGTACTTTGAATTTTTAGATGAGGCCCTGTTGGGTTTTAGAACACCCATTGAAGTTAGTCGCGTATTTTTCAAGCTAAGTGTGCTGTCTACGGAATTGTCCTGAGCGAAAGTGGGCAATTAGTCTAAACTCGCAGGACGCTGTCACGACACTTTGGAACCACGAAGAACACGCAATCATTAAAATCACGGAATATATTTGTTTCGGGTGAATACGTTTTAAAGATTATCATGATATGAGAGGAGAAGAGAATCTTTTGTTCAGAAGCCTGAAGAAAGCGAATTCAGTCGATAGCTGCGAAAACCGGATGAAGGCCGGAAATATGAATGTTAAATACCGAACATCATTTCTCTGAAGCCATTTGCGAGGCAGAGAATATGCAATTTAGGCCGGTTTACAACTCAAAACATCCCATTTTCATCATAATGCACTGTATTTGAATTTAGTATTTTCAAGTGAAATTTATAGGCAGAAATGTAAATAAAAGAGTAGGAAGTGTTTACGAAAACCATTTTGACTCAATCGAAAGGTAAATATTAGAATTGTAATGTGTAAGAAAAAGGTCATTTAAAACTACAAGAGAATCATTTGCTCGTCTAGCTTAAATATTTTAAATTCTAAGTCTAATACTATCCACACGCTAAAAGCTTGTGTTGAATAACAATAAGTTTTAAGATTTTCGCCTACGGCGGCAAGAAGTCTTAGGTGTTCCCTTCTCTTGGAGTATTTTTAGCTGAACCTAGCTCAAGCAGTTTTTTTTTAATCAGTTCAGATACGAAATGGGTATTTTACAAAATGATCAAACTAGCTTCAATTGCGCACAAAAAGCTTGGAATAAATTGACGCATTTCGGACACGTCAATATTATAGTCAAAACAAAAGACTCGACGGAATTGGTCACGCGAAAAAAATATACCCACTGGCGGGACTTTTCTTATATCCTTCTATATTCTGTTTGATTTTTTTGTTTGGTTTCGATGAAGAAAATTAACAGCACGTTGGGCTTGTTCGAGAGCAAGCCGATATTTTTCTATTGATCGTAACAAAAAACGTAACTTGCGTAGAAACGAATAACATTAGCATATTGCGTTGGTCGACCTTTTTTGGGTCTATTTGGAAAAAAACTTGCTTTGCATAATGAGTTTACTACAGGGCAATCCAATACTTTGCTATTCTATTTCGGTGGCCTATTGCTTGTGGTTTAGTGCTTAAATATTTATCTTATCTGCCTAAAGATACATTCTATACTTAGCAATTAGATCAAGCTTTGATGAAAACGTAACCACTTCTTTGTAAAATGGAATCAAATCTGCTCGCTCCATGCTAAATCATTTCCACGTTGATTTCATAGTGCAGAAAATGTTAACATTATACTTAAGATAATTAGAATGAGAAGGTTTCCAATCTTTATTTACAGGTTTTCAAAGGTAATGTTCGCTAGAAATTTGCATTGCTGAAATCAAAACTGTAACGTAGTTTCAGTTCGTAAGTCCATGGGCTCCAAAAGTCTTGAAACACTATTTGACAAGAAGACACTTTACAATGCAACTGAGAAAGTTAAATCTCACAGCGTAAACAGGCACAGCCATTCTTAAATATAGATAGTAATTAAACGATCAATTAAGACGTTTTGACTGCATTTCCAGACGAGAAGGACTGCTGCGAAAAGTAAAAGCACAAATGAAATAATTACATGGCGCTAGCTCTTGACCAATTCGATTTCTAGGAGATTTTCATGCCCCCGATTCTCGTAAATGTCGTCTGAAGCCTTAAAATTCCTTCAAAATGTTTGAAAAGAATAGCAGTCTATTTTTTTTCTGTAAGTAAAATTCGTTATAACTCAAAAAAGTAAAACCAACATTGTAACTATTTTTTCGGCCTAGATCGGCTGGATCTGCTGGAGACTGAACTAACCACGTTTCTGTAGCCGTCCATAGAAGTATTTTTTTTAAAAAGAAAAAGGACACCGTCCTTCAATTTCATGAAGCCCTTTTTGCTATTTTTAAATTATTTACTCTAAAAATATCCATTTTTGGAGAAGTTTTAGTAAACTCGCCCACAACCAAAAGATGACCTTTCGTCAAAAAGATGAAACCGCTTATTATGCCCCACATGCAAATTTTTGTAGTTTTTACCTTTTAAAATTTTTTTTATTTTGACAGCAGTAAAAATGAAAGATCTCAGCCAACTCCGTTTTCCCTCACGGGATATCACTATCCTTTCTATCCTACAGTGAAAATTTTATAATTATAAACGTTTAATAATAAAAAAAGTGTCCAACTTAAAAAGGGACATTTCAACTCCACTTCCGACACTTCCTTCCACCGTAAAATATTCAATCATGCTATGAAAATGGAAGTTGTTTTAAAACATTGAAAGAAATACTAGGATGTTTTGGGAAAATTTGATTTCTGTTGATGTAGATAGACAAATCACTGCATCATTAAACTGAGCTCTTTTACTATAGAGAATTACAGAACATGGTTTGTGAATCTTCCACGTTTAAATTTTCCGTTTATGGTTTTTGTTAGTCTTTCCCACCCTGAAACATCTTAATTTCATTTTATTCAGCGTGGTCTCTCATTGATCTTTACATCCGTATATGTTTGTATTCTATGGCTTTCTTTGGTTTGACGATAGCTTTGCACTGCACAAAAAAATAAATTGAATCATTATGAAAAGCTTCTTTGCTATTGACGGAAAGTAATCCGCTTTGGAAACATCTTTAATATTGCTGGTAACTCACAGAGCTTTTGTTATTAAACTCTTCGTTACCCTACAGTGCGTGCATTCATAGCATGTAATGATAGCTACGATAAACGTAAGACACACACACTCGATCGACGATCTACAGCCATTTCTTGGATTGGGAAAAATCGCCTATTGATTAAAATTAATAGAATTTTCAAAAATTTGCAAAATAGTAGAATGCCAGCTGTTGTGTAGTTATACATTTCTTCAAGATTCTTTTTCCTATATTGAATTTTAATTTAATTTTCATTTGAGGGATTACCTCGCCGTGAATAAGGAAGTCCGGCTCTTTGGTATCGCGGAAGAACTTTATTAGTGTTGTGACACTAAACTTTTCAGTAATGGCAATATACGAAAAAAAACCCTTCTACGCCTGTTTACCGATATTTCTGCTCCATTACATCAAGTATTCCTTACAGATGCTCAGAAAAATGGTCATTTTCCGCTTGCAAATCAACAACTGCACTACAATTTTCCTGCAGGTTAAATAGCAAGGCCTTGTCACTGGAGAAGAACTGCACTTGTATTCGATGATGTTAAGAACTGAAGTCAGTCTGAACGAGATGATCATGAATGAATATATTGACGCTTAATCTATCGAGTTGTTCTGAGGATGATGTGTACAGTCCCGAAAATTGATGGATGCACTGAAGGAAGTCATCATTTGCGGTACAATCTGATCCATGACCGCCGCAGCGGATTCTCTTGGTGTGATAACTCAGTAACTCACTCATTACACACGTGGTTGTGGCTGAACGAGTGATTTATCCGCGAATTTCTATTCATGTTACTCTGGAGAGGAAAATGAACTGTCTTGGGTGAAAGTCACAAAAAAATATGAAGACTTGTTGCTCAATCTGCTTATTTCTCCTTACTCGCGATAACCTCCTACGTAAGTAAGGATTATCGTAGGAATTTTGGTACAATTTCATGGATAAACGACTTTTTATATTAGGGGTATGCCATAAATATGGTGCAATTGGCTTCGAGAACGTACACGTCAGCGCTATTGAATTTTATTGCAATGCTAAAGATGATACGGATTTTACATGTTGTCAGTCTTCAAGCTTTTCTCATAGTCATCTTTCGTGTCATTGACTGACTTACCTGTTATAACTTCCACCACAAGCTGCATTTTATCTTGCGTGCGGCTAGCTGTTATGTCTTAGAAACAAGTAATAAACACTTGCGCTGAAGCACTACAATTTAATATATTTGGATTTTCTACACAATCTTGAGCACCTGAGCTATGATGCAATAAAATTTTATTTGCCTCGGGCCTAGTGAATATTGTTTCTACTTTGTTGGGTAATGTCATTGGGCAATAAGTGGCGGGAAATTCAACATCTGTTTGAGGAACAAGTGGCAATATCTTCCCATGATTCCCCAGCAGTTTCATCTAAATTCAAGATGGCGTCCAACGAGAAGTGGGAGGTAGTTGGCAAAGGGGGTAAGAAAAGGGCTCCTAGTGAAGGCAAGAAGAACAAAGTCAAGGCGTCAGATATGCCCAAAGCAGATATAGTCAGTGAGTAGAAATTGACGATTTTCTTAAAGCCTTCACGGAACGAAAACAACTTTGTGTGTTATTTCGCCACGTAGGCAAGTCGTGCTTCTTGAAAACTTATGAAGCTAACATCTGAGTTAAGTCACGAAGCTAAAAGCTAATTTTCAAGAACTTTATGTAGGAAATCGAGTGTGAAAAATGTATTTGGTCAAGTAACCAGTGGTTCATTTGTATCTTATTTTAATGAAAAAAAATAAGATATTTTTTGTCCGTTTAGCCATGTAAGGTTCTCTTCAGACATTCAGTGAATGGGATCAATAATCGGTGATAATCGTTATCAATTAACACCAATAATGGTCAATTAATCCATTTATCGTGATGATTGATAACCGTTCCGTAATCGAGTGGCCAGAGTACTTTGATCAGTACTTCTGAATGCAAAAATTACTCCCTCAACTTTTTTTCACCTGCGATTTTCCAGATCCCTTAGCAGAATCCAAAACAATCTACCAAGCATTAAAAGGTTCTAAAGCACATGCTTCAGACATAAATAATGGACATGTGAAACACACATCAGATGCCCATGAAGAGCTGCCAGCAGTTTTAGCAGAAAGAGTACCTGAACAAGCTCCTGAAATTAAGAAACTAAGTGGTGGCATTATTGGTGGAAAGAGGAAAGCAGTATCAACTAAACCTCAGAAGACTGATGAAGAATTACTTCAAGAGGCATTGTCAAAGGTACTTAAGAGTTATGAAGTTATTCTGTTATCACAACGGATACCTATAGGCTAGGGCTGATGTATCTATGGATAACCTATTCCTCCTACCAGGGATTCACCTGCAATAACATTTCACTCAGGCTAATTCAATACTCCTAATGGCATATTGCTTAGGTAGTTGGCATAAAATCTGGCACAATAGGTCACATGGTAAGTGTATAAAATAGAATCATTATACAAGACACAGATAGACTGGATGCTTTCCAGTTTCAGTCAATTATCTTCACTCTAGACAGTGAATGATAGTAATGACGACATTATTATTAACCCTTTCACCACCGGGAACTTTGGGTTAAAAATGCTCAGGACGCAGGGGCATTTGACAGGTTGTCTTCAAACAAATTTTAAACTCAGAAGAAGACATTAATTTTTCTAAAAAGAAACCCTTTATAATCTCAATCTCCAGTCAATTCACTATCATTTTAAGGTATTTCCAAGGAGAAAAAAAATTAATTCCAAAGATTATAGAATACTTTGAAGTTGTAGAATTGCAATGCATTGATTATCACAGCATTTATTCAATAGGTTTGTATGATGTTCTTGTATATATCATACTGATGCAAGATGTAAATACAGAAAGACTTATCTACCTTCAGTTATAATAAAAATTAATGTCAATAAAATGACTTGTTGACTTCATTGTTCCCATTAGATACAAAATTAAAAGCATTTAACAAAGTTTAAAAGTTTGCCACAGATAAAAACTAAAGACAGTTTGTAGACAATCACCATGCATCTTCAAACATGTTATTAAAAAAAGTTGCAGTGAAGTGCCGAATCCTTTGGTAAATATTCCTTCGCTCAAAAATATTGTCCTTGCAGAAGTTATAAAAATAAACTAGCTTATCATTTCTAGTTATCAAATTTGGTGGGATAGTCTACAAAGCAACTTTCATGGTAAACATCACACTGCCCACATTTGTAGGTGGTCATTTACCTTTTGAAGGTTCACCCATTTTTCTTGGCCTCTGTGTATTTCTTCTTGCACACAACACATTGATGATTACTTCTGACACCCTTGAGAGGTTACTGTGGGCCAACATTTGCCAGACTATCTTCGGGAGGCTTATTTTGTCTTTGCCTCCTGGCTGCCTTTTTTTCTGATGGTAGTGGTTCTCACAAGCTCCACACAAAGGCCTTGCTTGAACTTTTAGTAAATTTTTCTTTCTTTTGTCTCTACCATAGTGGAGAATCTTGTATCTCTCCAAGATGTAAATATTATAGATTGCAAGTGGCAGGAATTTGATGAAAACCATTATGTACCATTGCTGTAGTTTCTTACTCTTGTTGACTGCAGTCATCTGGTCACAAAGGTCCACGCCACCCATCTACCTGTTGTAATCTGCTACCATTGGGGCTGTGAAGATTTTCTGACTTCACCATTTCCCTCTGACTCTGTCTCTTCTTTTTAATATACTTGGGAATTCTTCAGCGTTTGGAGCACTGGGGTCAGAGTTTGGAGCGGTTCCTATGTCAACCCAGTTAGGTACTTCAAGAGGAGCATGGATATTGTTGAGAAAGAACTCATCTTCTCTATCTTTCCATCTCAAAGCTAACATCTCTTTTCTACTCAGCCAGGCAACTTGGCCCCTTGATCTCAACTGAACAGCTTTGAGTTCATTAGTAGGGTGCCCTTGTCTTGGTCTTGCTGTGCCTGCTTGATCAGGAAGGCAAGAAACACTTTCACGTCCTTGCTCATGACAGCCAGCCAATTTGTTTGATCAGTTCATTGTCAAAAACAGCATAAAAAAGTCAATTGCTCTCCCAGAATTGGGTAAGTTTATCACAGGACCAAGTGTCAGTTGAAACTCACCAACTACTGGTTGAAATTGTACATTACCCCAGTGAATGTTGATGTGAAGATTTAAACCAAAACCGGCAAAGTCATCTTTGTGGTCTTCGCTGTCAAACAGATTTCCTAATTAATCATCACTGGCATTGAACAAGGTATCAAAGTCTTCAGACTCATCAGAACTGCTTCTTGAATTATTTTTGTCACTTCCAGAATCCATTTTACCCTAATCTATAAATGGCAACTCTGTGTAGGAGATTCCATGTCCAGTTTCAATGTAAAATATCTTGCAAAACTCAAGTGAAACCAAGTGCTTTTTACTGAGGAAACTTCAGGCTTTAACCCTGTATGCATTATTGAAAGACTGTTAAACCCTCCCCAGGATAGTGGGGTTTACTAGATCCAGGCCTTAGAAGTCAAGCACTTTGTTTGGCCAGTTTACTGACCATCAGTGGAATGAAACATTTTCTGCTTGGCTGGAAAACTGACCATTGGTGGTGAAAGGGTTAAGTTTGACCATGGCATAAACATCATCATAATATGATTAATGTTAATAATTATATGTTTTTCATTTGTCTCACTCACTTGAGGTGGATGTTGATGAGCTGACAGCAATGCTAACAAACTTGGAATCATCCTTTCCCAACAATCGATCTGTAAGTATAGGCATAAGGCCAGCTTTTTTCTCCCAAGATTTGTTTATTTATCCTCTTTTTTGTCTTCCAGACATGGCCCTGTTTGTAAATGGGTAAAGGTTTTTTTTTTTTATTAATAACGTTTCCTTAAAATCCTTATGCTTATGACCTGTTAGCTGTAAGGCAAACAAACATGTTTAACATAATCACTTCTGCAGGTAAAAGGGAACCAAGGCTTTTTTAAACATATTATTGTTTATTTGCAAACAGTAAATCCAAAATATTGCTTTCAGATTTACATTATATAGATATAAGGTGGAGAAACCATTTTTCATTACTGAATCCAAATGAAGGTTTTTCTGGCTGTTAAGAGAAGCCTGTAAAAATTTAGGCTTAAATAGTACCTGATAGATGTCATGCTTAGGCTATAGAAACCATCAAAGTAGGGATGTACAGTATTCACTGATTACATGGAAAATGCTTTTTCTCTACTGGAGCAGGTTCCTTCATATAGTAATGCAGACTTGTAAGTTCAAAACTTTTTCAGTTGCTAGTATGGTTGCAGTGTTTTGAAGCCTATCATGTTTCTCTTATTCTCTTGCAGATTTGGTTGACTGACATTGGTGCACATCTTCAGTTTAAGCTGAAAGGTGTTCCTCAGAAGGACCCAATATTTGAAGGCAAACCAACAGGTTTGTTCAAAGTTTCAACTGCAGTAATGACTGTTTCAAAAATTCTGTTACTCTGTTTTGGATGAGTTCTAGAAATTGTGGCAAGTTGAGCAAAATTCAGTTCTTGATTACACTCATCTGGAAATTTTAAACTCAAGTGGCACAACGAGGATACATTATCTGTGAATTATGTGATGTATTCTGGTCCACTTTGTACAAGTCACATTCCACTTAAGGATGGTACAAAGTCTTCATTTCTTGAAAAAGTGTTGACGTGCACAAACTTATTTTCAGTACCTGGAAGGAGCATGAAATGAAAGATAATGCCTTGATGGAAATATTTTTCAAATGTCAGCAAGCTCTAATTGCTGTGGGAGCTCTGCATACTACATAACTTACCTCAAACAATTTTAGAGGATCATTTAAATATTCACAATATCATGGGGAAACCCTTCACTACCACTAACATTGTGCTTTAATCAGTTCAGATTTACACGAGTTTAGACCCTGATCGCTATAAAAAACTGTTACATATTGAATTGAAGGAGTATTTGGAAACTTTCAAGCGAAATACAAAGGCTGCAGCACAATCTGTAAAGCATATGAAACAGTAATAAATAACTCAGAGTAATACATCTGATATCATGCAATGGTCACCTTGATGGGTCAGGGGTCAAATGAAAGCTATGCAATTGAACACAATACAAGACATTTTAGGCCTGGTTGGAACCAATTGGAATCAAGAAGTTGTTTTGTATATACTACTGAAATGAGAATTAACCCTCTCTTTATAATTTATATCAGATCAAGTTGAGCACCTTAATTTTGCTATGTTCACAAGCAAGTTTTGTTTCATTATGACTCTCTTTGATACTTGACATTTCAGACTATCCCATGTGCTTAATGCCTTCTTCACTCAAGACATTTTTCCTTAACCTCATGAAGAAATGTTCAGAGCCAACACTGAAACTTGTGTATCAGCGGTCAGTTGAAAACATGGTGCAAGACCTCAGTAAAGGTATTGTGACTTTGCATTACATGAACACCCCTTTTGTAACATTTTCATATTGTTCTTACACAATTATAAAAACGATTTAGTATATATTTTAACTGTTTTTTCCTCACACATCCTTCGCACAATTATGTGTTCCAGAAACAGATAAGCAAGATTGGTTTGATATTTTCTACAGTCCTTTGCACTGTAGGAAGATTTCTTTTGATGAAAATTGTTTTAAAAAAATCCCTGCATTAATCTGGCAGTGAAACAGAAACTTTCTTGTATCTTTCACTTTTCTACGCAAGATGACTTTCAGTTGTTACTTTGTGATCTCTATTTTAGGTTGTTCTGTCTATGGTGACCAAATTTTGCTGCAGTTTATTGTACACCGTCGTCCACAGATTACTTTGGAAAACTTAAAAGAGGTAAAAGGGAAACCAATACTAAATTCTCTTTTAACTGGCCAGGAGCCTTTGTGATGGTTTCCCATGTGCTTCTGTTACATGTACCTTTTTTTTACATGTTCCTGTTTCTTGATGATTAATGAAAAGAATGTTTTTACTTTTGTTGTGATCAGGTACAAGACTTGCTCACAAAACGGAAGACTCGCACTCGTGAGGCTTTAACATTGATGTGGTGTGCTGGACAGTTACCAGAAAATGACTTAGCTCAGGGTTTAACAGGTTTGTAACCCACCAGCCTGTGGCAGTGTGAAGTTTCATGTACAGAGGAAACTTACCCCAAAATGATAAAGAAAGAAATGAGAGTTTTGGATAGTTAACATGTAAATGCTCTTTTGCTTAAACAAATCTGAGATTTATAATTGGCTTGCGTGGGTAAGTTGTGGATCATGTGTTGTGTGTTCTTGGTTGTAAATAACATGTGGTTATAGTTGTCACTGTGGCTGTAATTGTGGTGTTTGATAACCTCTGTGCTGTGATCAGTAAACACTGAAGTAACAGGCTATTTTTTTAAACTTATCACGCTTGATAACTCAGACCACAATTAGCATGCATTACTCTTCAGCTCTAAACAGAAAGCATTCAAAAGATTTTATTCCTTGTGTAAGGACAGTTGTCCCAGGAATTGCATTTAATCCTAGATAAATATTTTTTTTAATTGCAATAAACTTTATTCATATTCATATAAGTCATTTGCAATGGGTTTGTACATAATTTCTCAATCAGAAGTGGCAAGGGTTTGTAAATAATGTTTGCTGATATGTGATGGTACATATAGTAAACACTAAATTCTTATACAGTGAGAAATGTTTCTGTTTTTTTTTGTCTTTGTGTTAATTGCAGTGTGGATGGAAGTCATGCTACCGCACTTAGAATTGAAACATCTTACAAAATATTCTGTTTCTTACCTTGAAAATCTCCTCAGGTAATATTATCTCTGATTGCTATTGGTACGTTACTTTGTAATTGAGGTACTGTTAGATGCTGCCTGTCTAGTTCACCCCGTTCTGTGCTGGGAGAGGGATAGACTGCTAAGCTCCCAGACTTGCCAACTCCAAGGGTCTGGGGAGAAAGTTACATTGGCAATGACAATTGCAAATTGTTTACAATTTCAATCTTGTCATATAAGAACTATACAATACAACAAGCTTTGTGCTTAAATGTTCCTAAAACAAGTCTCTGTGATGTGATTTCCGCTAAAATTATTTTTGTTAGATGAAGCTAATAGCTGCTGTGCCATGCCCCTCTCCCCTGCTTAAATGTCACATGGTGAGAAGAGACATTGAAGAACTCACTCACTCACAGTAGGGTGGGAATTTCCTGTTTTTGTGGTTTGGTCTCTCTGTCACACTGCTATGGCTTGGTTGGGAAATACTTGGAGACAGAGGGTGGTAAAGCACAAGCAGCCAGTTTTTGCCCACAGAATTAAAAATATTCATAATTGGTGTCCTGTGGTTGCTTTTCAGTACATGCAAACCTGTTGGTAACCATGGGGCCCTTGTTGAACCAAAGGAATTTTTCATGGTAATGGATGTGGCATTTTCTCCTGCCTCTCCTTTGGCTGGTAACACAAGGTACATTGCCTTTTTGCTAAGTCATAATTTATGAGAGACATATATGTTCAGACACTACATAATTATGCATTTTTTACTGGGATATGAGAAGGTATTGTTAAATGTATTTACTAGAGAGTTGTTTCAGTGATATTTGTCGACCAACCAGAAACCTTTTCTCTTCCAATAGTGATTGAAATATAACTCCTATTTAGCAAATTAATTTGACACTTATACTGTTGAGCAATCGGCTATGGAGAGTTAAAAAAATTATTAATGACAGTGCAGTTTTTATTAAATCATGAAATTCCCAAGAGTAGTCCAGCCTATGTTTAATCATCAGGTATGATGATTAGCTTTCTCAGGGCTTTGAAGGTTTCAATCTTGGAGTTGTTTTTGCATAAGTATTCAGAAAACTGAGTTTGAACCCATGAGTGTATGATAATTGTTTCAAATGTTTCATTGAACTTATTCAGAGTTGGTTAATACATTGAGGTTTCTTTTGTTTGTTTGTTTGTTTTTTTTTTTCAGCTTGCAGCGAAAGCTGTTGTCTCTCTACCCCAAAATAAAGGTTTGTTGCTCTTTGTTTTCATGGGAATGCGAATCTTGAGATACATACAGTGAGATACATGCCATGAGATACATGCCATGAGATACATGCCTTGAGATACATGCCTTGAGATACATGCCTTGAGATACATGCCATGAGATACATGCCATGAGATACATGCCATGAGATACATGCCATGAGATACATGCCATGAGATACATGCCATGAGATAGATGCCATGAGATACATGCCATGAGATACATGCCATGAGGTACATGCCATGAGATACATGCCATGAGATACATGCCATGAGATAGATGCCATGAGATACATGCCATGAGATACATGCCATGAGATACATGCCATGAGATACATGCCATGAGATACATGCCTTGAGGTACATGCCATGTGATACATGCCTTGAGGTACATGCCATGTGATACATGCCTTGAGGTACATGCCATGAGATACATGCCATGAGATACATGCCTTGAGATACATGCCATGTAAAAAAATCAAATTTGGATCTGCCATCTAACAGACCCTTCTACAAAATGGTGGCTGAAAGTGAAAACCTACCTCATATGAAACTACTTTTATAATTTATAGCAGCAACAAAAGTAGGCATTCTTTTTTTGTTACCCTTCACTGAGAAAATGTAATCATTATTGTATTTGAAGTATGAATGACAATTTGTATGTTTTGGGACAATATGCAATATGTGCAACTAATAATTGAAAGTCCACTGGCCTTTTTAAACTTATAGTGTTTTTGATTTTATCTTAGAGGCTCTCTCTAGGCTCAGAAACAAGACCAGTCAGCAGACTGTATTTTGGCACTTTGTTAAGCCGTCTAAACAGCGAGCTTCCTTTAGAATATCAAACAGAGGTAGGTGCAAATTATGTTTGTACTGTAAGGCGTGTTCCTCTTTTACCACTTGTTTTTGTTTTCTCAGTTCTTTAATTACCTTGAGTGACTAAGTGAGAATTTCCCCTAACAGTGTCAATACAATATCAAACAGACAAGTGGTGAGAATAAAGAAAAATATCAACCAGGGGATTATTAGTTGATCCAATACCAAATTCTCCAAAGTAACAGCATAAGAATTGTATGGTAGGCAGTGAGGAGAGTTACTAAAGAGATCGTAGGAGTGAAATCTACAGGGTTAAATCACATGGATTTCATCTGGCCTCAGAAATTTGGAAATTCCGTCCAATAGACCGTTATACTGACAGAGGTATACATCGCTGGCTTGTTGTCTCCCCGAATGAGTATTAATTGATTTAAACGTTCACAATTATTTCATTTTGTGATGCAGGTTCTGAGCTGTGTATTGATGTGCCTAAAAAAAGATGAGGAGTGCTTTACGAAATGGAAAAGCAGCTACCTAGCGACCTTACAGCAATCAGGGTAATGTCAATTCCACAATTAACTGAGAACTGTGGCACGGTTGTTTTGCCTTGGTTATTCAGTCGTGCCGTATTTTACAAGAGAGTATTAAATTAATTTTCGCTTCTCTTTTTGTTCTGACCGATCTGTAAATGTGACTAGTAACCAGTGATGGGTGGGTGGGGGTGCACAGTTGTAACCGTGATGTTTCTGTAGAGCTGACATGTACTTTTGTGTGAAGTGGAAACTGTGCTATGTTAATGCAGGATCGAAATGATAGAACTGGAGTTAGAGCTTATCGTTCAAACAGATTTTTTTACCTCTTCAACTTTGTTCTTTATGATAACTGCTTCAACTTTGGTTCTGTTTTTGTTGCCTTTCAGACTGCTTCTAAATCATTTTGTGAACACTTGGAATTCCCAAAGTACGGTAAGTTGATCTCCATGTGAGGGAGATTAGTGAGCTTCTAAAGCTTTAATCTTTGTAAATACCGAGTGTTCTACTTCTACGCGGATTAAAAAACTTTTACTTCCATGACGTAAACTTCTTTGGCATAAAACGTAGCCCTTCAAATATATTTTGTTAAACTGAAACCAAAAGATAAGAAATGACATGTGTCCAGTCTGGCTGATCACAGCAAATTGATCACTAACTGGTCCAACCTAAATTCAAGCAAAAGTGTGGCCTGCGGTTCGCGACGATTTACGTTTGCTCCTCAATTCTTTCAACCCTGAATCTCACAGATTTAGTAAATGACTGGTTTATACGAAACTGTTTATACCCATCTGTTGTTCAAATTTGATCACGTATCCCTATTTCCGCTTCGTGTTTTGTTTGCCCTTGCAAATATTAAAAGTTCAAGTTACGCATCATATTTATTGTTTATCATTGTACAGGGTCTTCAAAACAAGCTGTTCACCACTGTGGACGTTTTCCAAGCTAGAAATCAACCCCTTCTGGAAAATAACAAAACCAAGGTGAGTTCTTATAAAATAAGTTCAGTCTTCCGAGCTCATTGTCCCTAATACAACTACCAAAGCTAACGTCCATTTTACAGTTCTGTGCTTGGTTGCCAAGCCTTTGAATGGGAGTGAGGCTAGAGATGACCTTGTTATGATACAAACCTTGCTGCCTTTCAAATGTAAATCACTTTGTTATCATGCTAAGTAGAAACAGGTCTCTATCACAACAAGGTCATCTATAGCCTCACTCTGAATCAAAGGCTTGGCAACTAAGTACACAACTGTAAAATGGCCTATTTTAGAGGCATGAGGTGAATCGGAAAAATAATGCTGGTCTAACGTAGGTACAGTTTGTAGGAACCCATTTAGATTTCTGGATGGAGAGAAGCCCTGTGAGAATAAACTGTCTGGCACATGAAAACACCACAATCACTCGGCCAGGTCTCGAGTCCGCACTTTTTGACCTTGAGTCCGGCGTGCTAACCGCTGGGTTAACGTTTTTCCGCTTTGTTAAAACTCGCTCAGTTTTGAACGACAGTTTCCCTTTGGAAAATTCTCTCATTTCCTCCTTGCTTCGTCGGGGATTTACGCGGCATCGTTTCCTATTTTAAGTAATTTTAACAGAAAAAAGGAAACCGATTGATTTTTTACTTTGAATTTTCTGGGTAGCCGTTCGATCGGCTTTATCAGACGAATTTTCTCTGACAGTACTAGATTAAACTGTAAGAAATGATTATTCTCCTATGGTCTGGTCTGCTCCTGTTTTTTTGACAGTTCTGTACATGTGCCTGTGAGCTGGAATCAATCAGCAAAGTACCTTCTTTTTTTTTAGGGTCTTCCCTCTCTACTGGTGATAAGGGGGTGGGGCCTGTGACCAAGATGTTACCTTGTCTTTGATACCAATTGTTTTGATTCCACTGAGTTATTGATAACTAAAAGATATATTGTCTATTTTATTGGTTAACAGCCCGGTCTGGACAGCTGTGTGGAAGCTTGTGAGGTATAAGAGAAGCTCATTTTGTCAATAAATAGATAAATAAATTAATTGACAAATAGATAAATGAGTGAATAACCAACTGAATGTACAGATGAGTGATCTAGCTAGAGTTGAAGTGGTAGCCATTAGTCGTGCTATGAGAATCTCAAACATTTACCAATGTTGATGAAAAAAATAACGTGTATATGTCTTTTTAATCGCTTGGATAAAATTGGTATGCTCTCCATGTTTAGAAGCGTCAGACCTCCTGCAAAGTGAACATATCAGGTTAAGGGAGTTTCCAAGCAGTTCTTAATAGCAATGCGCACTTCAGAGCGTAGAGAAACTTTCAGTATAAGTCGTTCGTTTGTTTTGTTTAGAATCCCAATTTTACTTACGTTAACAATTGAGAATTTTAATGGCCTAAAAGACACAGAGATCTGTTTATATTCGACTCCTCTAACAGGACATTCGACCGAATTGTACCCTAAACTTTTTCCGATGTGTCAGCTGCAATTTCTAATTTCAGTGGAGGGACGTTGTTTCTGTTAAAGCCTTTTTAGAAGTCATGTCAATCACAACAGTCGGGTAGCCTAAAGTTCTCTGTGATTGGTAGACATATTCATGTAACGTGAAGTTCACGTGGTAATTTGGTTATGATTCTCATGCAGCAAGCTGGTCAGTTAGTTTTGCTGCGTAACTGTCCAGTAGCCCATAGTGTTCTGTGATTGGTTGTCGTACCCATGTAACGTGTTGTTCACGTGATAGTTTGTGTATGGTTCTCATGCAGCAAGCAGGTCGAATAGTTTTGCTGCTCTGGGTTTTCCCCGAATCTTCTTGTTCTTCTGCCAAATCTCTGTAACTGGGCTGTTGACGGGTTTGAAAATAATTCAACTAGGAGTGATTGATTATCACGAGGCTGAATTGTTCAATTTGAATTCGCAATAATGACCAACGAAGACAAAGCGGTGAGTTGTTCTTGGATTCCATTTTGCGTCATTGGTTGTAACGCCTTTCAGTCATTATTCACTGAAGGAAAAGGTTTCCACTTAGTTTTTAACGATGAAAATACTTGAGGGCTGATTTTACGTATTTATTTTTCGGTTTTGTTGTCGTTGTCGTATGAGTGTTGAGTAACAAGATGGTATATTTTTGAGCTCGGTCGCAGAGAAAATTAATGTCAAACATCTTGTCACGAGCCAAGGACAAGGAAAACATATGTTACGTATGATGCACGAAAACATAGGTGTTAGTATTTGAATTTCAGAGCTCTGATATCCCTATAACTGAGGTACGAAGAAATCACCGGCAGGTTTTGCCATACACTAATTTCATGTTGACAGTTTCCAACCTTGCAACCTATCAGGTTATGCTTTGTCCATTCGGACTAATAACGATTAACTTATCATTATCATTTCATTTCTTTTTTTCTTTAATCGTAATACCATATCCTACACTTATGATATTTACACTTTTAACCCAAAAATGGCGAATTTATACCATCCCTCAGCCTATTTAAGATGAGAATTTGCCGACAGATGTTTATAGATTAAAACTACTGTACCTCACCCGATAACAACCTGTTCAGATTTTCCCACCTGCTAACGTACAGCTGTACGTTTAACATAGTTTTTTAGTGAAAGACTTCCACAGTATCCCTTCTTCATATAGTTTTGTCTCAATGTAACTAACTGAATTAAAAAAAAAAAATTATATGTCACGATTGATAACGCTTAGAAGCAGTTCAATTTAGAAATATCCTCGTGCGGAATAGCCATTTAGCTTGTTGTCAAATAACAGCCTTCATTGCAATTCGACATTTAAGTCTGAGTTTCGTGGAATAAATGTCGCAGAAATATTTTTTCCTAGGAGATGGTAGAATCCATGCAGCTTTGTGTTGTACACCAGTGTCGAACGTGCTTGCATTTTACAAGCTTATGGGAGGCTTATTCATGTGGTTTATAATGTGTGGTGTCACCTGTTGGTGAACTTTGATGCCTGTCATGTTTGTCAGTGTCACCAATATTTCAAACATTTACTACTCTTCGCTGTGTGTCCTCCTCTGGTCGTTTTTCTGAAAGAGGAGTTACACAGAGACTTTCGTCAAAATTCATTAACTTACCTTCAGCCGTATGCCTGTGACCTCAGATTTTGAAGTGATGATGTTCGTTCGTCATTTGGTGTAGCAACAGCAGCAGCAGCAGGTCTATCAGTTTTCGGCATGCGCTTAAGGTTCCAGTAAAGAGCTTTCCTTGGGCGGTCAAACTGACTTTATCGGGGAGCACGCGTGAGATGCCCATACTTAAAAAAACATAGTATTCTGGTTAGTCAGGCAATTTTGGATGTCACGTGATGGTCGCGCGTTTTTTCGAAAAACTGTTATCGGGGCATAGCGGGCTCAACAAGGTGCGCTGCACGAAGGCGAGCCATTTGTCACTTACTATCTGTTCTTTATTTCTTCAGGCCATAATGGAGAAAAAGATCAAGAAAAAGTCGTTCTTTTCGTGCGGAAAACTCTTCAAACTTGTTTTGTTGTTGTTATTGGCTGTGATTTCAATTGACGTTTACAAACACAAAAGTTACCAAGGTAACTCGTGCTTATTGTGATATTCCATGTTTTGTGCCCTTCCTGGCTATATTCTTCCTCAAATAGGAGTATCAAATGAACGCCACTGGATATTAAATCATACAGTGCATTTATAGCAGTATCTTAACTAGATGATTTGGTTTAGCTAGGTATTGTTTCAGCTCAGCAAAAGCAATCTTAAATACAAGTACATAGCCCTTTGTAAGACTGGGAATGTATGCGACGTTCACTGATACTTGAGTAACTACAGACCGTCATTTCTCCGCTAATTTGACCCGCGATGACTTGAATTTTTTTTTTAGTAATTATCAGCTAACCATAACCGATCATACCATGGGCCGCAATATGAAGTCCATTTTAAAAGAGGATTTCAGCGACAGCTTGTTAATCTGTTTTGTTAATTCCCGTTCAAAGCGAGCAAAACGGCCCAGATAGCAAGGGATTATGGTTTAGAACAGGCTGCTGTTTCAGGATACGGACATGCAAAAAAGGGATTTGATGTGGCAAACAGGTACAGCTTTTGATTAAGTGTCTGTTATGTGCTATTTCTGATAACCTCTTGGTTCATCTGTTGCTTACTTGTAATGCTAGGGCAAGTTTTAAATCAGGTTCGTGCGTAATCCAGGATTGGATTGTTTTTGTTCTGATTGGTCCAGAAAAACTTACGCCATCCTCTCGACCAATCAGTTGCTAAACTAAAATCAATGGTGACTCTGTCACTGTCGTTTTCCCGCGCTTTAAGCAGTTTTGTTGTGTTTCCTCGCTATATTTTCCGTGGTTGAGGTTGTATTTTGCGCAATGAAGCAGGAATAGAACATTGTTCAAACTTAAATATTCTTTTTGTCTGATTTCCTTTCAGTTGGGTTCAAACGAACTATCCTACATATTACAGCAAGTTTAGAGAACACGCAGATCCAGCTGCTGCATTTGTTTGGGAAAAACTGACAATTATCGGAGCATTTATAGCCCAAAAAACCAAGCCAGCCAGAGATTATCTTAACGTTAAAATCCCACAGATTTTAGAAAAGGTGAGATAAGTGAGGTGTTAAGTAGGCTCCAGTTGATCATACACCTTATTTTTTTGCTACTGAAGATAAATTAAAAGTAACAAATTATTAAATGAATTCCTTAGTTTTAGGCTGGCTTAAAGGTAAGCAAGTTATCTTTTTTTTTCACAAATATTCTTTCATATAAATGTAAAGCCCGGTTTCCATATAATCGTCCCTGTCGCAACAGTCGTCCTTGTCGCTTGAAATACTTGGAAGCGACAGCGACGATCCAATGGAAACGCTCTTGCGATCAGCCGGGACGATCCTTGCGACAAAAACGATCAGTCGTCCGAGATAGACTCGAGTTCTATCCTTGCGACTGAGACGACCGGAAATGACTCAGAAGCGATCGCATATTTTTAATGGAAACCGGTGAACACGACCTTTGCGACAGAAGCGATGCGACATATCCCATGATCCACCTGATTTACAGCACATAATTGAAATTTCCAGCTGTTTCTGTGCATAAAAACAAAATAGAAGTGCTAGGGGAGTATTTGGCGCTACCAATCCTTACTGAAAACATAGTTAATAATTTAAGGTTAAAAGCTCAGGCTTACTGGTAGAAATACTCGCGATCTTCGTCTTTCATCTCTTGAAGGAGTGTATGGAAAATTCCAATACGTTCTCTCCTCTGGAATATCGGCCGAACCCAAAACCGATGCTTTCTTCGATGTTCTCTCTCTCTTCTTCGCAAAACATTTCGGAGAAGCGAAAAACACGCCAAAAATCTTCTTCTTCGATCGACTGCCGCCATTTTTACTTTGGTTTTGGCGGTAAAAAGCGACTAGTCCCAGTCTTTCCACTATTTGATCCGATACATAGGATTTAGTGGAAGCCAGTTATCGCAAGGATCGCTTCAGTCGCGTCTGTCGCTTCTGTCTCCCCGGGAAGCGATAGAGAAGACTGTTGCGAAAGCGACGATTATATGGAAATTGGGCTTAAGGTAGAGTCAAAATAACAATTACCCCATTAAGTTTAAAAAATCTTTGGGAAGGGGAAGGAATATCATTAATGAATAAAAACCGGGCGGTTTTTGCCTTTATCACACACATTAGCCAATAACATTCAAGGACGAATGATCATTTTTATCATGATCATCTGTCTCTCGAAAAGATAGCTCTTGTTGCCATTCTGCATGGATGACCAAACTGTTTGTAGTTTTATAATTTTTCTTTTGTTATTTTTTGTTGCAGATTGAAACAGAAGGTCCAGTCTACCTTGGTATAGTTCGCGATTATCTTAAGCACTTCTGGGACACTTGGTGGCCTGTGGTTCACAAATATCTGGTAACAGTCTGGGATTTCTTATCAGAACACGTCCCAGTCCTACTCGCCAAGGCGCAGGAGCTTATAACTAACTTAGCGTACAAGATTTACGAACTCGCCCCAGACTTCTTTTCCTCTGTCGCGTCTTGGTTCGCAAAACTTGGCGAAAAGATAGTGCAGAAGTTACCAGATGTGTTAGCTGTCATCCAGGAGTACGTTGTTATAGCGATCAATCTAGTTGTCAATCTTATACAAAGTGTTGTGGAATGGGTTCAAAATACTGCTGGAAGGTTTGTTTGTGCTTTTTTTTACATTGAACCGTTTGCAAAAATAGTTTTCGAAATAGCAATAAATTAGCAAATTTAAAAATGTAAACTGTTGCGAAGTTCAGGAATACATGAGGTCATGCAACCTTTCTTTCGTTTCGAATATTGTATAGCCTGTGAACTGGGAAGCCGCATATTGTATTCAGTCAATTGCTGTTGTCGTTGTTTGAATTTCTGTGAATTAGTTGAAAAAGCGTCACTGGTTGATCTGTTATAGTCGTGATAGATTCTATCTTCTAAAAAGAAGGCTTTTCGTAACGTTGTAAAATTAGTGCTTTTTCAAAGCAGGGATTCAGTTTTGGAATAATTTCAGTAAAAGATCATTATTTAACTCTCTTTATAGCGCTGAGGTTGAAGACACAGTATATCAGAAGTCATCCCCCACTGGGTCTCCAAAACACGTACCGCAGTGAACCGATTCATTACCAAAAATTAACGCGTGTAGAACGAGGCAACTTGGAAAACGCAAACTGAAGAGACTGACCAGAAAGCTCATACAAGGCAGACAGCACTGCGCTTGCGTAAAAACTGAGCAGAACATCTCTATATTGCTACTGAACTTTGTACAAGGACATTTTGTCTTACTAATCAAAGAATTTTGTTCAATACAATTTGTCTCACATGATAACGGTATCTTTATAGGACAAAGACTTTGAAATAAATCACACGCACAGTATTGTTACTAAATTCCTGTGACTCGTTTTATGACAAAGCAGCAGCAATATCGTTTCTTATGCGCGCGATGATAAGACATAAGAATTCCAAATTGAGTCAGAAACAGTTGGGATGCAAGAAATACCAAGTATTGATTGGGGAAGAATGTGAACTGAATATTGCGCAAATAGATAATCACGCCCCTCTTGAATCGAACAAAAACCAAAGAGATAATTGAGTAGCCATGATTACCATCCAGAACCGCGCAGAAAAAGTGTTAGATTCAAAGATTCAGGCGCAAGAAATTAACGAAAACTGGGAAAGAAGCGAAAACTTGAAAAAATTGAATCGCATCGAGGTAGTCGATAAATTGTTCAAAAATGTTCTTAGTTTACTATAAATCCAGCACTACTTCTTCACGAGTTATATCAATGTAGTCATTATAGCTTAAGGGTTCTTCGTTCTGATTTCCGCCAAGACCCCAATTAGATGTATAAGTTGTACCACAAGAGAATTAAAACAAGTGTGTCACTTTTTAACTTTACAATTACATGTAAAGGTCATATGACGTGGTTATATGCCATTCGGTATTTCTAGATTATATCTAAAAGCGGTAAAGCAAGCGAAACGAAGACCGGCGAAAACAAAGACAAAACACTCACAAACGTATTGATAAACTTAAACGGCGGTGCGCGACGTGTTGCGACACGAGTCAATGAACAGACACTTTGCACTACCTCATATTTGCCGCAGAAAATCCAAATTATTGAACGGTCAGCCGTGAGATTGCGCGGGATTACAAGGGAACGACCCTTGAAAAACATAATCTACTGAGATCACCACTGAAATATTTGTTGAATGCCAAGTTACTTGAGACAAATTCAATAGTACACCACAGTAGCTCTCTCTACTTCTCCAAGACCAAATTCTCTAGATTGTTGATAGCTGCCGACAGCGAACCATAAACAGTGAGAATGCGATTACTACCGAGCAGTTGAGTGCGCTTGCTTAATTTTAAAGTATTCTACAACATTCTTGAAGATTAAAACCCAGCAATTCTGGAAGCTTTAATTCATAATTGCGTAATGCTCCAGGCTAGAAAGGTTTACAGCGTGACAGGGTGACGTATGAATGAGCATTCTAGAAAATTCCAGAAATTTCATGGATCGTTATTGCCCTCCTTATGATACGCTTGATAACCAATCTAGATGATTCTGCGTGTACTGGAAGCGCGAAGTTTCACGTCCACGAGGGAACGAGAATACTCACACGCAACGGATTAATGATACACTCGCAACCGTTACGAGTCGTGATCAAAGAAGGAAGAAATAGAAATAATGAAGAATTGCTTTATTCATTTTATAATAGCGAACAAAAAAGAAGAAAAAAATAATTGGACCTCTAAAGAATCAAAGCAGTGACTGTAAAACGCTCGGGCGTTCTACAACTAAACATAAGAGGGAATTCTTAAAGGAAGAGATGTGCCATAAACTGGCACACGTTGATCAAACAAGGAAGAGGTCATGAAAATGCGTCATTTATTTTATAATGGCGAACAACAGAGAAGAGAAAAATAATTGGACCTCTAAGAGATCAAGGCAGTGACTGTAAAACGCTCGGGCGTTCTACCACTAAACATTAGAGGGAATTCTTAAAAGATGTGCCATAAACTAGCAGACGTCATCTATAAACTCACTGAACAGATACGTTTTCAGTATCTCGTGACTTGGCTTGTTTTCTTCTCGTTACGACTTTTGGAAATTTTTTGGCATTGAGTAATAACCAACGAAGCCGGAATAACACGAACACTTCCTCGTTCTTTTTCGATAACGATTAAACTAATTTAGTTTAAAGATAGGGGTTTGCATGTCATAAAATGTGGTTTTTTTTGTAGCACACTTACCGCCGACAAATTTTATGCTTCATTTCACAGTTTGCTTCTTTCACTTCCTTATCCACCATTTTTCTATTTCTGGCCAATTTCGATTGTTTTCCATCCATGGCTTTCTATTTTGCTGTTGACTTCATTCTTTTGATAACAATTTGATGTTACTTGTCTCCGGAAAATAGAGAATGTCATGTGCTGTTTAATTTCAACTGGCTAACCGTTCTAGAATTGCTATAGTTCAAAGCAAAGCGTTTGATAAAGTGAGAAGTGCAAGAATTACAGGAAACTCACAAGCTGTTTCATGTGCCGGAATGTCTACTGATATCAAGCTAAACACGTTAAATAAGAGGTTCCGTTCTTTATCAAAAGGAACAGTTAATAGGTGGTTTTACCACAAGAGAATTAAAACAAGTGTATCACTTTTTAACTTTACAATTACAAGTAAAGGTCATATGACGTGATTATATGACATTCGGTATTTCTAGATTATATCTAAAAGCGGTTAAGCAAGAGAAACGAAGACCGGCGAAAACAAAGACAAAACACTCACAAACGTATTGATGAACTTAAACGGCGGTGCGCGACGTGTTGCGATATGAGTCAATGAACAGACACTTTGCACTACCTCATATTAACTATGAAAGGAACAACAGCTAGTTTAGCTAATACTGCATCTACTGAATATGACTGAATTAGTGGGTTTACCTTTCTCACAAGTTAAGGTTATCTTACGTTTTTCCGTTCTTTTTATCAAAGAACAGACATTATCAACACTTGTGTAAGGCTGTCTGGAAGTACATCCTGTTTTTCTTCTATTTCTGCTCTCAGACGAAAAGCTTTGTTAACGGTAATTTACCGGAAGAAAGAGTTAAAGCGAATTGGGTTTGAGACTGTCGATTCTTTCTTAGTCCATGTTGCAAGTGGCTGGTCGTGATGTATGGGTACAACGGTAGAATATTGAAAACAAATTCTGAATTTTTCGTCACAGGTACGCCTGTGGCGATGTTTTATTTCAATTAAGAAAAGGGCACGTAATTGTCTGTGTATGTAAACAAATTCATTAAATGCTAATCAAAATTGCACCATCACTGATTTGTTAATATTACGGTCTATTTTTTGCGGATAATTGTGTAGGTACTGGTATTAAATCGAAGCTGGCGTTCATTATGGTGCTCTTTCTTATTCTTTGCACATTTACGATAGAGGTGTTTTCCTTAGAGAGCTATGGTCGATGAAGTATTTCAGTTTTTGTGTATTCTCATGGTACTGTAATGTTGGCTAATTCATTCGCTAAAGGTATTATGTGAGTTTAATGTATTCACTTCCTGGGGCCTTGGAGATAAAGTTATTTAAAATGAAAGTTTTGGAAACGTCATGTCAGGAAATACCCTTAAAGGATGTTATGTACTTTGTCAATTACGATCTTCTGATGAAAGAATAATGAAAATTTGATTGTTATCTCCTTGCTCGCCTTTTGAAGCTGATTAAATCTTATCGCCCACCCTTTGTTTTTGTGAAGCTGAAATAAAAAAGATTTGACTGTAGCCGGCGAGGACAGTTCGTGCTAAGGAAGCTTTTTAACACGTGCTTTTCCTCCAGCATTTTCCTGTCGCAGTTTAAGGACAAAGGTATCATTTATTGCAATCTTTCAGTGCGGCTGATGGTAGCTGTAGTACCTTCCGCTCACGTGATTAAGTAACGTTATGTCAGAGATGTTTTTCTTTCCTGTGCGTGTGGTTCAATACCAGAGGAATTTATCAATAGGACTCAGTATTGCACACAAATAATTGTCCTGGCGCTATGCTGTTCTTTTAATATCAATTAAGCAAAAGTTTGTTGAGTATAGTTCAAGTGCTTACACTGAAAATTCGAAATGAAACTAGAGATTCAGAACAGACGATTGCATTGGCATCGCTCTGATTTCAAAGGTCACTGATTGTTTGTGCTGTTTTTCATTTCAAAATCCCGCGAACTACTTCCGAAAACAGAGACACAGACGCTAAACCGTTCGATATCCTTTTTTTATCTCAAGAATGTTGAAGATATTGGCTTGAGAAAATTTGCGCGTGATCGAGCAATTTGCATTGAAATTCAGGGGTCAACTGAGGGTACAAGCTGTGAAGTGGAAAGTTTAAGACCACCGAGTCAATGGAATATCTTCAATTAACCAGTTTCCCTCGCAACAAGCTACGAACCAACACTTTTGACAGTTGTTTTACTTCAATTTCGTCAATGGCTTTCCGCTTTGGCTGACAAAACTCAAGATAGGCAGGCTTGTGTGACCAAAGCCCGGCAATCTAGAGCCAGTTAATCACGCATAATGAGTTTGAGGTCATTGTTTAAAAGTACGTGATCTCTGCCAATTGACGTCAAAGAGATAATTATTAAAATACTTCGCGCCCAGAGCGTATATAAAGGAAAGTTCAGCTCTTCAAAGTTCACAATCGACGCATCCATAGGTTAAAAAATCACTTCGGTACACTGGTTTGAGCTACAATAGTGCGAAGGTAAGACAACACAATATTATCAATTGTTTGCTATTCAGTATAAAGTTTTACGTTAAAAATTCAGTGTGTTGTCTTTGTCCGGTAATGAAAATTGAATACAGTATCTAATTTAGTAGCCCAACCTTTCTGAGTAACGCTATGTCAGAATATTGAAAGATGATAAAACTATTGAACGAGTCTGTGCAACGATTGCAGAAAATTAGGACTATTTTGTACTAAGGCAATAACGTAAAAAATGGTTTTGAAAAGAAGCTCAGGAAAGTTTTTAATTTAGAACGTAGATTTAAAAAGTTTGAAAATTGTTGTTTTTAATAGCATCTTCAAAATGCAATTTTATGGTAGCTAGGCCGCCGATGTAAACAGTTTACTTCAGGGACGTGGACGTTTTCAAACTGGCGATCGCTGAGTCATATCCGCTGTGCTCCACCCAACCGCGTGAGCGGCAAGAGTAGGCAGATTTTCGCGTGCGAAACGAACAAGTTTACGTGATCAGCGGGAGACTTTTTTTAATTGCCATTGAAACCGACTACGAAGTGCTTATTGGAGTATGTTTTGCCTTTCAGTGTAAAAAAATGATTCTCAAGAATGAAACACAGGGAAATAAAGTGCAAGAAACAGCAGCGTTAGTTCAAAGTTTGCAGGTAAGTTGGTTAAAACATGTAATAGCAAATGATGTCAATGGATTACTTTTTCGGAGATATTTGTTTTGTTGTCCTTTGTTTTGTTTTGTTCTTGTCTTGTTTTTGCTTTTGTTTTTTTTTTTTTTGGTAGTATTTTTAGAGCAGATTCCGTGACTATTATTGTTATGCAAGGCTACTGCTTAAATTCTCCTAAAGAAAACATACATTCTTTATCGCCAACTTTAAAGTAACGTATTGTGTATTAAGTGTAGATCGTCGGTTCAGATTCTAAACCTTTCTTTGAAGTGGAGGAATTAAGACCGTGTATTATTCAAAGCAACAGACTCACTAAGCTTTTATTCCTTTATTTCAGGCCTCTCCAAGATCCTGCATAGCAGTTAAGATTGATGTTTTAAGAGCCAGAAACGTTACTCAAGGATGGTATGACTGGAGTGAGTATAACTTTACTTTGTAAACCACAGTTCTACAACAGATATATCAAGAAAGACACGATACATTCAAACAAAGAAAAAGCAAAGGAGTGTTAACTATATAGCTTTTGATTTTTTTCAATGCAAGCTCTCTTATTTAAGAGATTTTTGCCAGGTTTATGCCAACGGAAATCGGCACTAAGCTTATCGGCGTTTACAGACCAAGGTGTATTCACATTAGCTGGCTTTTTATCTTTGTTAAGTTCTTTTTGTTTCATTTACTTATCGCACTATTTTTTCTTTGCTTTAAGTCGATACACCGGATCCATATTTGAGGATGAGAATCCCTTCATCAGCTGAAATTGTCAAAAGAACAAAATGTGTTTCAAATAACAAGAACCCTGAGTGGAAAGAGGAACCATTTGTCTTTCATATTGATCCTGAAGAAAACAATGTGCTAGGTTTGTGAAATACATGAATTGATAAATAAAGTAAATATATATATATATAACAAGTTAAAAGGCCTCGAGCCAACAGTGACGCCGCGCCAGAAGGATCCAAAAGGATTCACAGTCCAAACCTCGATAAATAATAGGAAAAATATTGTAGTGCACGAGGACGGACAACTTCGAGCTAAGAAAGACATATACTCAAATAAAAAGTCTAAGAAAGTTTAATAAAAACGTTTCGATGGGAGACCTTCATCAGAACTGCAAGTAAATAGACCATTAAGTGATAATTGTTATCATTAGCTCTTCTTCCATTCGGTCGCAAAGGTTGTTATCATTTATCACCGGCACATTTCAAATTAATTCCAACCCGATTTTGAACTAGAAAGTTCTAACTTTTTCTTATTATTTTAGAGCTGACCTTATGGGATGAAGACTTCAACGCTGATGATCAAATTGGTATTGCAGTCTGCTTGCCACTTGATAATTTACAACTGGGCAAACTGGAGCACAGAACTCTTAAATTTGGAGAGGTAAGAATTTGCTTAAACTGAAATTATCCCAACAGGAGAATTTGCTGTAGACTCTGTTCTAATGAAAAAATGACCTGATATGATCGACTTTTCAAAGAACGTCGAGTGCTTTCAAAGGCTTTTTGTACTAAATAATATTTAATTTTTCTCATTAATATAGTATTCTGAAGTGGACATTACCCTGGAGGCATCCACAGTGTAAGTAGATAGATAGATGGATAGATAGATAGATAGATAGATAGATAGATAGATAGATACTTTATTGGTAAATACTTCACAGCATGAACTGAATTGCGTATTCACAGATATAAAATAGAAATTACTATGTACATGTATACATCTTATCATTAAAAAATACATAGTTCATCGTAAGGGGGAATTTGTACATTATTTGTGGCTGTTGACTATTCTGGCCGAAGCAATTAAAAAACTGTTTTTGAGTCTATTTGTCTTGCAAAGTGACAAAGCAAAGGTACGCTCGTGCCTCAACCTATGAGAGCTTACATAGCAGGGTGGTAAAAGTTTACTTTATTTGTGCTGACGATCCTTCATTATATCGCGAAATGTTGCTGTACACATATTTTCATGGTGGTCTTTCACAGTTGGAAGATTCATAATAGCTAAGGCCTGTTCGTATTGCATACCAGGACAAATGATTCTCATGGATCTTTCCTGAATATGTTCTAGTTCTTGGTGGAGGTATTCAGGGAGAGAGTAATGAAAAACTTATTCTGCATAATCGATTATGGATCGTACACATGCCGTATAAAAGAGGCAAAGGTCTTTGGTATTTCATATCTATCGTCACAAGTCAGTATTTATTTTATAGTTCCACCGCGCCTGATTTAATCAGTCTGTAAGTTACTTGTCCTTATTTTTTAAGGACTCTTTCCTAAGAATTTTATATCGTTTCAGATCTGGGGAGTACGCTGACCTTCGTTACAGTTCAGAACTTTGCGATGAAGAGAAAGAATTTAGAGAGAAGAGAAAAGCTATCGTGTTTGACGCCATGAAAAGGTTGTTGGGAGAACAAGCGCCACAAAACATGGATGAGGTAGGAAAATAAGTAATTAAAAATTCTTGTTTTTGAAAAGAAAGTCTGTTCGAATAGTAACCATTTGATGGGGTGTGAAAATGGGAGAAATTGACTTCAGCTGAAAACATAATGATTAATACTTCCACACTCCGAATCAAATGCGTAAATATGAGAGGTTTCCTTGCTCTGAACATTTTTGATTCCTTTCCAGGTTCCCACAATAGCCGTGCTTGGCTCAGGGGGTGGTTACCGAGCTACTACAGGCTTCAGCGCGGCCTGTCGTGCCTTGGATGAGATGGATCTGATGGATTGCATGACTTATTTAACCGGTTTATCAGGTTCTGCTTGGTAAGTAAGCAAGTTTTGCCTCTAAAATCATAAGAAATGTTTGAAAGTTTTGACTGAAAGTTTTTGTCCTCGAATTTTCAGGGGTTTGTCTTTGTTATACTCTCAGACCGCGGGAGAGAAAATTGACTCCATGGAGACCCAGAAGAATATCAGAGAACATCTACAGTGGGGACCCATGTGGTTACTTACCCCCAGGAGGGTGATGCAGTACGTCAAAGATATCACAGAAAAATGGAAGAAAGGACAGCCTGTTAGTCTGACAGATTTTTATGGCCATTGTGTCGGAGAAAGCCTTTTAGGACCCGTAAGTTGGATTTGAACAACAAATACTCAATTGATTACGTATAATGCATGAAGATGATTTACTCGAAAAAGAAACAAATTCTATTACGTTAAGATGTATGATCACTCTACTGGGAGAGCATTTTTCAAAGTTAATTGTCTTTAACGGCGGTTCCACTTCTTATTTTCACTGGTGATGTGGTGGCGCTGACTTATAACTTTAATTGTGATATTCAATGTAAGATATTTGTTTTACTGTCCCACAGAAAAAGAACTCAGTAAAACTAAGTGATCAAAAGGAGAAGGTTGCAAATGGAGCAGTTCCCATGCCAATATACACCGCGCTTAATTCCAAAAGAGACGTATCAGCACAGTCATATGCAGGTGTGATATTTTGCCATATGATAAGACATTTATCAATCTCGGATGTAATCTAGATTTCTTGTTTTTAAACTTTGTGTCTTTTTCTTTAGAATGGGTAGAGTTTACTCCTTACGAGATTGGAATGGACAAGTATGGCACCTTTATGAAGACCGAACTTTTTGGAAGTAAATTCTTTTGTGGGAAACTCGTTGAGAAGTTCCCTGAATCTCCACTTTATTATCTGCAAGGTATGACATGTCAACATGTAGCAGTTTAGGACTGGAAAGTTCATTCAGCATTTCGTTAACTAGTCATTGATAAACATTCACGTCAATCACAAAAGGCCACACCCCACCATATGGTGCTCAGAATTTGTTAGAGAGACAACAAAGACCTTACATAGAAAGCAAATCGCTGAATTGTCTGCGGAATGTAAAACTTAACAAAATGCACGAGGCGGAGAGCATTTAGTGAGAAATAAGAGGGAACACTGATATAATGCGCGGACTATGTTGTTAAGCTTGAGTTTATCACTTCACTTAAATAGGCAGTGGATTTATCTAGAGATGTTTATTGTGTTTTAGGAATCTGGGGAAGTTTTTATGCAATCCTGCTGCAGAGAGTTCTGAACCAAAAAAAGCAGATAAACACGGAACAGGATGACGAGAAACAACTCTTAGGTAAAGTGTGAATGACTGACTCATCACAGAATAGCACTCAACCGCTTCTGGTCCGGTTTTACGCTTAACACAACTAATGCGCTTGGCTTCCCTTCATCTCACAGGGGCGATTAACGTTTAACTTCTCTATGCAATAGATGATAAAAAAGGTAGTCATAAAACTTACGAAACAAGGACTGAAAATTGAATGTGAAAGAGGCAGTGAAATTTGAATTTGACAAAAGGATTTGTCAATCAGCTGAGATACAAATAATATTTTCTTAACTGTGTCCGCTACGAGTGCTGAAAACCGTGTGGGGATTAACACTGTTTTTGTTTTTTGTTTTTAATTTTTTACAGAGCAACAATTTCTGTCCGAAAAGAGCAACAAAAACGACTCTGATGATGATGATGATGTTGATGATGTCGACGAAGGCGTTGGTGACGTCGGCGAAAAAAAAAACCAAAAAGATGTTGGAATTTCTCTCATGGCCAAACTACAAAAAGACGTTGAAGCGGACGAAGAACTCCACAAGTTAGATAGCAAAGCGACAAAAAACCAAAAAACAGAGAAGAAAGAGTTCCGTAGAAAAGTCATAGACTATGTACTTGAAAAGTTACCAGGTCTCCAAACTCGGTCAAAAAGAGCAGGGCTGGTCCACAACTTCCTACGAGGCCTGGGACTTGATGGAGCTAAAGGTATTTTTTTAAATTTCTGATGTGCATAGCTTTATCATTATTATTGTTAAGGAGAAGAATCGTAAAATTTAGTTCAACCAATGAATAGAAAACGAACGTAGAACGCGAAGAAACGCAGTAATGGGATATGAACCGCAGTTTTGATGCGATGAAATACATACTACACGCACTTCAGTTGCGTTTTAAACGTAGTGAGACATATGTTGATATCTGCGCAACCTTTGTCTAGTTTATACAATTGCTTTCTATTGGAAGCTCACTTTCAGTAAACATTTCCCAGTATAAACTTGCAATGTGCTGTACTGGCTTCACTTTGTAAGAAAAACCCCACATAGTCCTTATGTTTTGTATAGTTTCCATGAAAGGCCGGCGCCAACACACATGCGCTTTGTTTTTCCAGAGTATGCAGACGGAGCAGCACCACAATGTCCCTTCGAAAGAGACAACATCAAGAGGAAACGAATGGAACTCATCGATGCAGGACTGATGTTTAATTCGCCTTATCCGCCCCTTCTGAGGAAACAGAGGTCCGTTGATCTTATTCTGTCATTTGATTTCAGCGCCAGAGAGTCTGACGAGGAAAGGCCATTTAAGGTAAACAATTTTTATACTTCAAAAGTGCGTGTGTCCAGTCATAGATATTGGTCATCTTTAGACTGTCATTTTACCGGAGTAAGAACTGGATTGGAATTCTCAGTACATACTGTTCGAGCTATTTCAACTTATCTGGGAAAAAGGTGAACAAACATGTTAAGGGACCACTTTGACTGACATGCCTGCCTCTAAGAAATCTGATTAAAATTGTCGTTGCAAACCTCTTACCTTAAAAATGTGTCCTGCTTTCTCAATTAACTGAAAGAAAAAGATTTTTTGCGTTATGCCTTTTGTGGTTCTCTTGAATATTTCTTTTAAAACTAAGCATTTTCTTCACTTCCTCAGAACATCAAATTAGCAGAAGACTGGGCCAAACGAAACGGACTTCTTTTCCCGCCAATTGACGCAGACGAACAGTTTGACAGAGACGGATGGAAGGAATGTTACGTGTTTAAAGATCCTACAAACCCCAAGTGTCCAATAGTACTTCACTTTGTTCTTGTCAACAAGACATACAGAGATTTTGTACGGCCAGGTGAGAATAAATTGCTCATGATCATTGATTCACGTGAATTCTCTGGCTTTGGTCTTAGCCTGCTACGCTTAAAAAAGAAATGGGCTCTAGAATCTAAATTAAGTAGCCACATTTTAAAGTAAGATCTTAATTCTAAGTAAATTCTAGACACGGCCTCCATGAAAAGCAGAATTTGTTATTTATTTCTCTTATTTGAATTGTTATTATCAAATTATTATTGTAGTTAGATAGATAGGTTTCTAGTATAGAATTAACTAAATCAACTGATGGAGAAACCGTGGATAAATAAAGTTATCCTATCCTATCCTATGGGTGAGAGAAAACCTTTCTGAGGTACACAAGGTTCCGAAAGTTCTTAGAAAAAAAGGTTCTTAGTACATTTTTAGTAATCTCTAACATTTCCTAAGTTTATCTTTGTAGATCTCTTTGCAACGATATTATTAATGCCTCTAATAATTTGTTGTAGATAATCAATACTATTACTTATTTTAAAAAAATGAACCTATGAAGCCTGAATATAATTTTTTTGTGTTCTCCTTTCACAGGAGTGCCTCGAACTACTAAACAGGAACAGAAGGCTGGTGATTTTCCAGTATTCAATGATCCCGACAAACGGTTCAGTACATTTAACTTGAAGTATACGCACGACATCTTTGATCGGCTCAGTGGCTTAGTAGAGTTTAACACAGCGATCAACGAACAGCTTATCAAAGATACCATGGTGGAATGTGTACAAAGAAAAAGAACACTCATCCAAGGAGATGCCCAAGACTAATTGCATCCGAGATGTCTTGAGTGCCGTGAAAATTCCTGGATAACCATGATGAAATGAAGCGAAATGGGAATTACGTACCAGAATATTTTCTGCGTCATCTTTCGTTACTTAATCCCTGCATTGTTCGTAAATAGTGGTGTCCCATAGTGTAGAGTTTAACTGAGTGCAAAGATTGCAGTCGGAGGAAGTCATACTTAGAAGTTAAGTTAATCTGCAATGCTTGCAGATCCTATGTGGAAAATAAGGAATAAGGAAACAAATTGAAAATGTGTGATAACATCTACTTTTTTTTTGATAAAGTGCATTTTCATATATTTGCTTTTTACATTTTTTTTTAAGTTTGCAACTATGAAATTATGTTTAGAGTACGAAACACCATCGAAAACGTCTAAAAATTATTTTCAAAATGGACAGATCCATTTCCTCTGGTCGTATACCAATATGACTTTTAAATGTAAGGTTTTTATTGATATGTACAATAAGACAGATTTAATATATGTATAATTATTGCAGAGAAACTTATTTGAAATATGATCCATCGTATATTTATTTTAAATGTATTATCTATTTGAAGAAGCGCATAGCGAATGTAAATAAAAGACTTTAAACTGTGAAGAATTGTGACGTAATGCAATGAGAATGACTGGGCTAATTATCGCACTGCAAGAAACAAAGCAGTTTCTACTTTGCACTCAGCTAAGCGTGATTTTTACAACAATTCTTTTGAGAAAAATAGAAACAATACGAGGGTAATCTGGAAAACAATAAATGCTTTAACCGGATCGAAAAGGAACACTAAGGCGGTGAAAAACTTGAATGTCGATGGCGCGATGCGGAGGATTTCCTGGGAAGGGCTGAATGCCTTAATGCTTATTTCTCCACTATCGCGGATAAACTGCGAGAAGGCCTACGTCAAATTTCATTTGATTTTCCGAAGCCGAGTAACTTTGTGAAATCTCGTAAGGGCCTTGATGTTGTATTTTCCGTTCCCGCCATAACAAGTGTGGAGGTTAACGAGATAATCCTTTCGATTAGTCCTGATAAGGCGGCTGGCATAGACAAAATCACCGCTCGTCTTCTGCGTTTAGCGGCCCCTGCTGTTGCGCCAAGTATTGCAAAACTGACCAACCTCTCTTTTTCTACGGGGACTTTTCCCTCGCACTGGAAAACTGCAAAAGGTGACACCTCTGTATAAGAATGGCGCTGAATGTGATCCGTGTAACTATCGTCCCATTTCAGTTTTGCCAGTTTCGTCGAAAGTCATTGAGCGCCACATGCACAATACGCTATACACTTTTCTCTGCGATAATAACTTGATTTTTTCAAGGCAGTCCGGTTTTCGCAAAAACCACAGCACTGAAGCAAGTAGTTTACCTGGGTGGAAAGGAGTCAAGTGACTTCCTCAGGGGAGTATTGTAGGCCCACTATTCTTCACTGCACTTCAGTTCACAAGTTAACACCTCTATGCGGTTGTTACGAAAACTAAGATCCCGAAAACTAAACTCCCCGTCTTTTCATTGATTTTCACATTTCCGGTGGGTCTTAGTTTTCGTAATTACGAAAGCTCATTACGAAAACTAAGACCCCACCTCATTTTTCTTGTTAATCAATTTTATTTTATTTCAATAAATAGAAGACGTTGAAATGTAAAAAGCGAATAATAGACAGCAATTAACACCACGTCTTTTCAATGATTTATCACTTCTCCGGTGGATCTTACTTTTCGTAATTACGAACCTCATTACGAAAACGAAGACGGTAGACCCCATCTCATTTTTCTTTATATTTATCAATTTTTTAGAAGGTGAGCGGGAGAGTTCATACATCATCTTGATTTGTTGCTTTTTCG